GAACCCCATCTTTGAGTTCCCCGGCTCCCTCAGCGCTGCTAGCCATCTGAACTGCCGGCTGAATGGTGTGTGGGTCAGGTCTCCAGCAAACCCAGGGCAGGCTCTGCTGCAGCCAGGAGGGAGGGAGTCAATCCCAAAAGAACACATCTCAGAGGACATGAGGCACAGAACTGAGCTGCCACTCAGGAAGACAATTGCTTGGGACTGATTTTTCTCTTCTTTCCAGGTCAAGTAGTGAAGCCGTTACCGCTAACCTGCCCTGACTTCCAAGACCCTTTCTCCTTGACTGAGAAACCCCCCGCTGAGTTTTGCCTGTCCCCAGATGGCAGCTCAGAGGCTGTATCCATTGACCTGCTTCAGAAAAAAGGTGAATATCATTCCTAGCTCAAGACCGGAAATCTGCTGTCTCTACCTTTTTATGCCTGTGGCCTGACTATCTAGCCCTTCAGAATATTTCCTTGTCTTAGAACTCCAAGTGCTGGGAGGGAATTACCTCAAGCATTGGGGCAAGAGGCAGAAGTCAGTACCATGGATCATGAGTATCTGCAAGTGAGCAACAATCATTTATCAGATGCTTAAGAATCAGCCTCCGTCTCTTCCCTCAGGGAGCTATGTGTAGGGAGGGAGACTCCTGTGTGCTAAACCAGGAGAGCTCAAGTGCTGCAGGACAAGGTAGCTTGGATAAGCATGATCATGACATCTAATCAGATAAGGACTGACAGGGACCCAGTCTATTTAGCAGAGCCGTTTAAATGAGATGATCAGGAGAGGATTGAGCATAACTGTGGGCTGAAGAGAAGGAGCTTGTGAAAGGGAGAAAGATGAAGCTAAAGTCCCTTGCAGAGACAGAGCAGGGGACTCAGAGCGTCGAGAGGGAAGAACCTTAGGCAAGAAGGGGAATGGCCACCTTCCTCCAGGATGGAAAGGGAGTGAGAGCGGGCAGGTGGGAAGGACAGATGTAATGTACTCCTGTCTTTTGGATGGAGAGGGAAGTTGAAGTCATTACCAGTGGCCTCTGTTCTCTGGGTGAAGTAGAACCAAGGGCTTGAGAAGAGGGGTAAGGATTTGGCGTGGCAACCTGAGAGCATAGCAGAGGGTGCTGCAAGGCACGCATCAAAGGAGTGCCCTTCCCAGGCCCTGGGTGAACAGCCCTGGACTTTCTCCAGCAGCAGCCAATAGCCTAGTTTCTCAGAGTGGAGAGGATGGAGAGTTAGACTGATCCAGGTTTGAAGTAAGAGGACAAGGAAGTGAGAACATTGAGTGTCTTAGTGGAATCATTGGGGTGGGTCTTGGCAGAGTATAAATCAGGAAGGGCTTGAGAACTGGGCAAAACCAGGAAGAAGCCAAGGCCTGTGGTGCCTATGCAGAGAGAGAGAGAGAGAGAGAGTGTGTGTGTGTGTGTGTGTGTGTGTGTGTGTGTGTGTAAGCCCTTCCCTTTCCCCACTGAGGGCCCACTCCCAGCCAAGTTGCCTGGGGACTCACTTAGGGACCTGGCCCATCAAATTCTCACTTGCAGGGCTGGTGAAGGCTGTCAACACTGCTGTGGACCTCATTGTGGCCCATTTTGGCACAAGCCGGGATCCCGGGGTGAAGGTAGGCGAGAGACTGGGGCGCTGAGCTCCGTCCTGCTGCGCCTCACCTGTCCTGTGCTACCCCCGTCCCTTGCTCTCCTTCCCCCAGAACTCAGAGTTGGGTCCTCAGGGGCGGGGACCACAGGAGAAGTACCGTGAGGACTAAGAGTTAGAGAGGACCAAGGTCAGGCTGCAAGTGATGCCCGTACTTCCCCGCTGCATCCGCAGGCGAAGCTGGGGAACAGTTCTGTGAGCCCCAACGTGGGCCACCTGGTTCTGAAGTACCTGTGCCCGGCGGTGCGGGCAGTATTGGAGGATGGACTGAAGTCTTTTGTGCTGGACGTCATCATTGGGCAGCGTAAGAACACACCGTGGAGCGTGGTGGAGGCCTCCACCCAGCTAGGTCAGTGCTGCTGGCAAGGGAAGAAGCCCAAGCTGAATTTTCAGGGTTCCAAAGATGGTGACCTCCAACTCTGGCTTCCTCCCAGGCCCATCCACCAAGGTCTTGCACGGCCTGTACAACAAAGTCAGCCAGTTCCCAGAGCTCACCAGTCACACCATGCGCTTCAACGCCTTCATCCTCGGCCTGCTCAAGTGAGTGTGTGGAAATCCGCAGCCCACCAGCCCCCTCCCCCGGGCCCCAGCACCTCTGAAGAACCAACTCCCTAGACTGAATCAGCCAGGCTCAGGCCCACTTTCTCCCCACCTTGCTACAGCCTCTCTTCGTGGGTCACAGGTTTCCTACCAGACCCACGACTCTGATCACCAATACAGGCTTCTGCTTTTATAAGTCTATAATCTGGCTCACTTGGAAATTAATCTGGCTCTCAGTCCCTATGGGTATTGTAACCCTGAACCTCTCAGTTCCAGCACTGCTTCTGAATCCTGCTTGACCCAGTCCACCTTGGCACGTATATCACAGTGTCCTTCTTTCTTGAGTATGAGCCAGGGTCATCCCCTCTGATCCTCAGCTACCCTGTCTTCTCACTCAGTAGCTGCCCTGGCTTCTTCGGCCACGGGCAAGTCAACTCCATTCTAAGAAGTGACTGGCTTGTGAATCACCCCCGCCTACATCCCCTCTGAGTTTCCAGAACTATGTAACATGAAACTAGCCTGCCATTGAAGGGAGATGTTCGCCTGTCCCTCTGCTGTGTCTGACCCCCCATATCTGTGTCCCTTGTACCTCACGATCTGGCTATAAGCCGCACGAGATTCAACTCTTCCCCTCTCTCCCTGCAGCATCCGGTCCCTGGAGTTCTGGTTTAATCACCTCTATAACCACGAAGGTAACCCTCAGAACCGTGCGCTGTCTTGCCAACTCAATACAGGCCCGTCCCGGGAGGATCAAAGTGGGGGCGGCACTGCTGTCTTTGCCGAGTCTAGAGGTGGGGAGGAGAACCACACAAGCTTTCATCTCGAGGCTTGGCCTTCTACCTTTCCCAGCCTCTGCTATGTTAGAGCCTGGGAGCCAGGCAGATACTCAGGCAGTCTGGAAGTCAGGGTGGCCAGGAGCCTCTCCTCTGAACTCCAGGTCGCTACAGTACACAGCCTGCCCAGCAGCATGCGATGGCTCTGCCCGCCTCGCCTTTCCGAGGCCCGCCCCCAGGCCAGGCTCTGCTCCTCCGTGTGGCTCAGTCCCTCTCTCTCTCTCCCCTAGATATCGTCCAGACGCACTACCAGCCGTGGGGCTTCCTGAATGCAGCGCACACGGTGTGCCCCGGCCTCTTCGAGGAGCTGCTGCTGCTGCTCCAACCCTTGGCGCTCCTGCCCTTCAGCCTAGACCTGCTGTTCCAGCACCGGCTGCTGCAGAGCGGCCAGCAGCAGCGGCAGCACAAGGAATTGCTGCGAGTGTCCCAAGACCTGCTGCTGTCCGCCCACTCGACCCTGCAGCTGGCCCGCTCCCGCAGCCGGGACGGCCCCGGAGATGTGGACAGGGCGGCCCCCGGGGAGCGGGTGAAGGGTGTGGGTGCCCCAGCAGGTGGAGAAGAGGAGGAGGAAGAGGAGGAGACAGAGGCGGCCGGGAGCTCGGGGCGCGGCAGGTGGGCCCGAAGTGGGCAGGCTGGCTGGTGGTACCAGCTCATGCAGAGCTCCCAGGTCTATATCGATGGCTCCAGCGAGGGCTCTAGGTTCCCCCGAGGTGGCAGCACTGGTAGCAGCAGTGAGAAAAAGAAAGGGGCAGGAGGCGTGGGGCCACCCCCCCGCGAGGGAGTCGTGGAGGGAGCGGAGGCCTGCCCTGCCCCTGAGGAGACCCTCGGCCGGGAGAAGGGCTGGCCCTTCTGGATGGGGAGCCCCCCTGATTCTGTACTGGCGGAGCTGAGGCGGAGCCGGGAGAGGGAGGGGTCCGCTGCCCCGCCAGCAGAAAATGAGGAAGGAGCGTCCGAACCTTCACCAGGGGGCATCAAGTGGGGACACCTCTTTGGGTCCCGGAAGGCTCAGCGGGAGGCCCGACCCACAAATAGGTAAGAGGAGGCCCCTGGTGGAGACGAGGGGGTGGGAGAGCCTGCTCTAAGACGGGCACAGATGGAGCCAGAGCCCTGGCCGCTGTCCCCTAGGCTGCCCTCGGACTGGCTCAGCCTGGACAAGTCTGTGTTCCAGCTCGTGGCGCAAACAGTGGGTGCCCGCCGGGAGCCAGAGCCCAAGGACAGCCTGCAGGAGCCCCCCTCTCCAGGCCTACCTTCCAAGCCTCCATGGTGAGCCGGGGAGACTGGAGGACTGGGGGGCTGAGGCTGGCTCGGGATGGGCTCTCCCTGACCTCCATTTGTTGTCTCCCCAGTGAGGTGAGGGCGCTGTGCCACCACCTGGCCACAGGCCCTGGACAGCTGAGCTTCCGCAAGGGAGACACCCTGCGGGCGCGGGGGCCGGCCGGGGCAGACTGGCTGCGCTGCAGCCGCGGCCCTGACACCGGCCTGGCGCCCCTGGCCTACGTGACCCTGACCCCAACTCCAAGTCCAAGCCCTGGGAGCAGCCAGAACTGAGGCCCTGTGCATGCTGGTGGCCTCAGGGACCCTCACAGCCCCCAGGCTCATGGCCTAAGAGCGCTTCCCTGGCCGTCTGGCCTGGTTACAGAGAGCAGGCCGAGAGCTGGGGGCCACAACATCCCTGTACTCAGTATTAATCACTCCCCATTACCTGCCCCAGTGACCTCGTCCGGACCTCCCCCAGGCGAGGAGGGAAGGGATGCAGCACTGGGCTGCCAGAGTCTCCCCAGCCAATCTGGCCAGTCCTCCCGCGGGTGCAGACAGGTACTTCCCTGTGGAGGGAGGTGACCAGAAGGCCCGCCTGCAGGGTTCCCTCGGCCAGGCGGTGAGGAGGTTGGGTGACAGTATTGGGGCCAGTTCCCTAAGCCCCCCAGCTGTAAATAGGCTGTGGCCAGTGCCTGCGGTCAAGGACGGAGGAGGAGCCCAGGCTTCTGTTTATGTATTTATTTATTTATTTATTACACCTATTAATAAAAAAGGTGCTCGGCCTCCAAACCATTCTCTCTGTGCACTTCCTCCCATCCGCCAACCTGCCTTTCTTCTTTCCCAAAGGATGGCTGGGATAGGGTGACAAGGGAAGTGGGAATGTAAATTCCAGGTACCTACACCAGGAGCTGCTTCTGGAGGGCGCTGAGAGCCAGAGCATCCTGGGTGAGATGCCCACATGTGTGGCCGAGCTGGAACTGACACCCTGTGTGGCCGAAAGAGTCTGTCATTTGTAGCCAGAGGCACAGAAGAGTTATTCCTCAGCCAGTTACCCAGAACCTCCAAGTTATCCTCCAAACTCTGGTCCTCACTCCACACTACGAGCTCTGTCATTTCCTTTTCTGCCCAGTGATAAAGCCGAACCTGACGATCCAAGGACCCCCTCCCCGTATCTACTAGTTCCCATCCCCTAAACCACCTCCACCTATCACTCACACTCACACACATACACACACAAATATCCCAGTCCCCAAAGCCTCCCTCCCGGGCCATCCTCACCTGGCGCATAGCCCCCCTATTTAGGTAAAAGGCCCAGGTGCTGAGGGTAGGTCCGGGACAGTGCGGGGAGATGCTTAGGATCCTTCTGGGACCTGCCCGGAGACTTCATCTCTCCAAACTCCTGCAGCGCCTGGTTGCTGAGCACAGGAAAGCTGGAGCCGAAGAGGAAGCGAGCACGGGGCACATAACCAGTGAAGCCTGGGGGGGCGGGAACACTCAGTCGGTACCTTCCGGGCACATCCCCAGGCCTTTGGTCATTACCCACATCCTCTCACCTGACATGAAGAACTTGCGAGGGTCACTGTCATCCATGGAATATGGGGAAGCCTTGTGAGGAGAAATGAGAGAGGAGAAACGGGAAACAGATTCAGCCCCTGGTTTATAACCCAAGCTCTCAGGGCAGTGGGGCTGGTGGTCTGGCTCTGTGCCCGCAGCCAGCCTATGCATGGCCACACACAGGCAAGGGCTCCCCGCTCCCACCGCTGGACTCTGCCTCAGCCTTCTCCGTCTCGCTTGTTCCGCCTCCTGCCGCAGCTCCGGCTCCCTTTCCGCCTCCGGCTTTGGCTCTTGGTCTTTCTCCGCACCTTTCTCCCCCTTGGCCTCTTCGGGCAGCTCCTGGCTCCCCTGTCCGCTGCACTGAGTGAAGCCATTGAGAGCCTCAGCCCAGACCTGGCTGCAGTTCTTGGCAAAGATGAACTGTGCCTGTGGCACAAAACCTAGGTGGGCAGGGGGCAAGGAAGATGCATCAGCGCGCGGGGCCCACGTCCTGGGATGGGGCCCCTGTTCATACCTGCGTCCGAACCTGTGTACCCAGGGACCATGCTGGAGCTGAGCCTTTCGTGTCCGCGCCTGACAGGCAGGCTCCTCCTGCGAGGCTCGGGGGATCTTGGAGGCCGAATGGGAGGCAGAAGTGTGCGGTGGGCGGGGGGCCAGGCTAGGCCAGGAGAGCCGCGAAGTAGCTGCCCAGTCATCTGTCCATAGGTCTGGCCCATGCTGAACCGAAGTAGCGGGCAGTGTCCAGTGTACCTGTAGCACAGGTTTCACCTGCTCACCTCAAGAAAGCCCTGCCTCACCATCCCCAGACAGAGACGCAGAGACCGCTGAGGCCCTGAGCATTTCTGGACTCCGCTGTGTGTGTATTTGGAGCAGGCATTTCTTAGTTCTCTGTCTGGGTTTTCAACCTTTCCCTCGGCTGTTACCCTGTTGCCATGGAGAGCACAACGCAACGCTTCACAGCAGGCCCGGTTCCTACTATTCCTTTGCTTTCCCTTTTCCATCCAACACCATAGATAACCCGTCCATAAGCCGCCCATACCACGATGTCCACTTGGCCCCCAAGGCCGAGGTGGCACACCTCAATATCCTTATTACCCCTACTCCCAGAAGCGAACGGGTATGCTCTGGGTAGAAGTCTTACCCCGGGATATAATGAGGGTTCTGGGGGTTCAGCCCTGGTATGAAGGTGCGGGCCACAGCCATGGGGACCCAGGCAGTTCCTTTTGTTTCTCTGCGAGCTCAGCCTCTGGGCTGTGTGTGCTGACTGTGTCCAGGGCGGGGAGGCCGAGCCAGCGGCGGGAGGCGGGGCTCGGAGGGGAGAGAGGGGCGGGGGCCCCGGTGTGCTGACGGCCAGGGCCAAGGCCAGCAGGCCGGGAGAGCAGAGGCTCGCTGGTCTGTCTGCTCCTGAACAAATGCAGTCCTGCCACCTGGGGGCGGGGAGAAGGCTGAGTACAGACAGCCTCCCCGCTGCAGGACCGAAGGAAGCCCTCGCGTGGGAGGCAGGGGAGCAGAACCTGACAGATCCACTGAGCCATTCCTAAGCCCCTTCTAAGCTCCTGTCTGAGGAGATGTGGGTTCTACTCTCTCTGCGTCTTGGTTGAAAGTGATTTCCTAGGAAAGCCCAGAGGGGAGGTGATGGGGGAAAAGAAACCAAGACACCTCTAAGCAGTGACATTGTTTATTTTAATAATAGAACTTGATAAGAATTACTACTATAATCCACATCATCATCCACTCAACAAATACGCCCTGCTCGGCCGGGCACACACCACAACGGCAGAAAGCGCAGAGGAGCAGGAGTCAGAACGGCTAAGTTCTGTGAGACTGTGGGCAAGTCATCCAGTATCTCTGAAGCCTCCTATCCTCATTTATAAAATGCAGGTCCTACTTCTCACCCTGCCACTGTTGCGAGCCTCAGATTAATGTATACAAACATGCTTTGTAGCAACAAAAGCCATGAAGCCAGAGTGGCGGGGCAGGGGAAAGGGCATGGGTGTGAGGTCAGGCAGCCATGAGCCCCTAGTAGTCAGCGGCCTTGAGCTGTAAGCAGGTGGCTCCCTCTGAACCTAAAATCCCTAAACCCTTAACAGGAAAGTTAAAATAGCCCAGCCTAAAAAGATGCTGTTAAGAATACAGTCAGTCACCGCAGCACTGTTGACAACAGCCAGGACGTGGAAGCAACCTAGATGGCCATCAGCAGACGAATGGATGAGGAAGCTGTGGTCCATATACACCATGGAATATTACTCAGCCATTAAAAAGAATGCATTTGAATCAGTTCTAATGGGGTGGATGAAACTGCAGCCTATTACACAGAGTGAAGTCAGTCAGAAAGAAAAACACCAATACAGTATACTAACGCATATATGGAATTTAGAAAGATGGTAATGACCCTATATGCGAGACAGCAAAAGAGACACAGATGTAAAGAACAGTCTTTTGGACTCTGGGAGAAGGTGAGGGTGGGATGATTTGAGAGCATAGCATTGAAACATGTATATTACCATATGTGAAACAGATCGCCAGTCCAGGTTGGATGCATGAGGCAGGATGCTCACGGCTGCTGCACTGGGACGACCCTGAGGGATGGGATGGGGAGGGAGGTGGGAGCGGGGCTCAGGATGGGGAACACATGCACACCCATGGCTGATTCATGTCAATGTATGGCAAAAACCACTACAATATTATAAAGTAATTAGCCTCCAATTTAAAAAATTAATTTTTAAAAAAAGAATACAGTCAGATAGTGTGGGTGAAAAGACTTACCGCAGCACCTGGCACACAGCTACTAAAGCTTCATTTCATTTCCAATTGTTTAGTATTATCTCTAAACTTCTAATACAAAGGGGAGACCAGTGAATGGTTAGTAAATTCAGAGGATACAGGTTTTCTCAATGTGGGAGTTCAGGGGAAGGAAATATGAAGGTAATGTTAAAACTAGGAGGCAAATCAGAATTTGTTACGAAAACCGTTCAGATTCTAAGAGAAGTACAGACCAAGAAAAAGAGATCTGGAGGATGCTACCTCTCCAGAAGGCAGAGCCTCTGCCCTCCTCCCCTCCACACAAATTCCTGTGCCGGGGCTCACCAAGCATGTGTCACTGACTCCTTGATTGCACAAGAGCACTGGCCACCGAAGAACAAATTCCATGTGCCTCACTGTTCTGCCAAGGACAACCTCGGTATGTGTCATGAGAGCTAGAATTGTGGGGGGCGTGGCTCACAGGAACTATGCTAGAGTGAGGGGGGAGCCTAGAATAGCAGAAGTATGTCAAGGCTCACAACCTGGATCCTGTAACAGACACTGTTGGTTGCAGACTTCATACCTATTCCCTACCCCCATCTCCCTTCTTCCTAACAGCACTTCAATTTTGTTCTGCTAAGCTTTCAGGAGCTTCAGGGAAGCTCGGAACCAGCCATAGGAATGAGTCTTGATTAGTCTAAGCCCATCATAGTGGTCCCGTTCCCCTTGCCGATGACTGGTTAGGTGTGGGCTTGTGGCAGTCTGGACGATATGAGGGCAAGTCTGCTGGGATGAAGGAGTGTCCTAGGGAAAGTTTCTTTGCTCTTAAAAAAAGATGCACAATAAATTAGAGAAAGAGAGGTGGGCAAAAAGGAATGTCTTTTCCTGCCTCAAGAAATTCTGTGAATGTGATGTTGGAACTTTGACAGGAATCATAAATCTTGTGGAAAGCTAAGCTAACCTCCAGACAAAGCCTTAATCCATCCAGGGTGGATGGTAGAATAGAAAGGCCTGGATCCTTGATGGTAATGTAGAGTCTCGGAATTAACCAACCTTCTTATGAAATGATTTCATTATTGTTAAGGCCACTTCTAAGTTTTCTTTTACTTAAGAGGCAAATATAATATATCATAATATAAAAGTAAAACAAAACAAAAACACTAGTTCAAATCCTAGTCACTAGAGATACAGACCCTGGCTTAATTCATCTCATCAGACCTCAGTATTCTCATCTATACAATGGTAAGCTAATGTTACTACGTCATTGAGTAGGATAAGGTAGATGAGATGATGCGTAATGAAGATGAATCAGCAAAAGAGCCCCAGAAGGAGCCAATAAAATAGGAGAATCAAAAAACTAAAGGAAGGGGAATTCCCTGGTGGTCCAATGATTAGGATTCTGAGCTCTCACTGCTAAGGGCTTGGGTTTGATCCCTGGTTGGGGGGCTAAGATCATGCAAGTGCCCCCCCATTCCCACACAAAAAAAGAAACTAAATGAAGAAAGTAATTCAAGATGTAATAATGGTATTATGGATACATAGAAAATTACCTTGGAAGATAATACTAATGAAGTGTCATAATGCCTACAATGTATTTTCAAATGGTACAAAAAATTATACTAAATAGTACAGTGTAACCATACTATATCAAATACCACACCATACAATATTATATCAGAGAGAAACAGAACAAACATAACAAAATAATAACTGTTGAATTGAGGTGAGGGCACACAGTTGTTCGGACTTCCCTGGTGGCTCAGCGGTAAAGAACCCACTTGCAATGCAGAAGTTGCAGGAGACGCAGGTTCGATCCCTGGGTTGGGAAGATCCCCTGGAGGAGGGCATGGCAACCCACTCCAGTGTTCTTGCCTGGAGAATCCCATGGACAGAGGAGCCTGGCGGGCCACAGTCCACGGGGTTGCAAAGAGTCAGACACGACTGAAGCAACTTAGCCTGCACATACAGATGTTTGTTGTGTATCCCTTCAACTTTTCTGCATGTTTGGAATTTTTTCAAAATAAAGAGATAGTGGAGGGGACTGTTTTAAAAGGAATAGGATATGAATATATTCATTTAACTGCCCTTCCTAAGGTCACACAAAAATTACCCATATTGAGGTTTCTAAATACCATTTCCAATGAAAAGGAATCATGAATCTTTGGAAAAAATAACTGACAGCAGCCACAGTCTAGCAATTCACAAAATGAGCCCAGAACATTTTTTTATATCAAAGAGCAAGAATCCTTAAGAGTCATGTCAAAAGGACTCAGAAGCCAACTTGAATGTGTCCAGTGGCCAAAATAGGACAATTGAAAAATCAAAAACTTTTTTTAATTGCCAGTGATTAAGACACATCATATATGTATTAAATTATGAGTTTATGATGGTACTAGGAAAAAAAACAACTCATTGGTCACTGTTGGAGAATGCTACAGAACCGACTCACTACTTTAAAAGCTGGTAAAATAAAAGGGAAACAAGCTTTTTTTTTTTTGCCTTTCCCATATGAATATGTGTCTGAGTAACAGTTAGTTTAATGAGGAAAAGCTCTCAATCAGGAACAATTTTGCCCCAAGGGGGACAATGTCTAAATGACATTTTAGTCATCACAACTGGAGGAACCTCAGTGGGTTGAGGCCAGGGATGCTGCTAGACATGCCTACAGTGCACCAGGACAGCCTCCTCCTATAAAGAATCTCTCCAGTCCAAAATGTCAATGACAGCAATTTTCCTCCAATTAAAAAATAAACTAATTTTTAAAAATATCAATAGTGCCACGTTTGAGAAACCCTGGTCCAGATAATAAGCATGATTGGTTATTAACGTCACAAAGACCACCACTGTATACATGTGTCTGCTTAGTCACTCAGTCAAGTCTGTCTCTTTGTGACCCCTTGGACTGTGGTCTGCCAGGCTCCTCTGTCCTTGGGATTCTCCAAGCAAGAATACTAGAGTGGGTTGCCATGCCCTCCTCCAGGGGATCTTCCCAAACCAGAGATCGAGCCCAGGTCTCCCACATTGCAGGCAATTCTGTACCATCTGAGCCGCTAGGGAAGTCCACCACTGTATATACCTCATAAAAGTGTTAAAACCACCTACAAGTTAGTTTTGCCAAAATAATAAAATAGAAATCTAATTGTCTCTACAACTTTACTGGAAATACAGGGGACTGAAGAACATGCTAAAAGCTTAGCAAAATTCAGATTCTGAGAAACTCTATAAGGACAAATGACCCAGTTTCTTTAAAAAACAAAACAAAATGGAGGAGGGGAGATAATAGATGGAGTTAAAGGTTTAAGAGACATCAGCCTCAAAGAATGGACCTTATTTAGATTTTGATTCAAATTAACAATTTGGGGAACTTCCCTGGTGGTCCAGTGGCTAAGACTGCACTTCCAATGCAGGGGGCCCAAGTCTGATCCCTAGTCAAGGAACTAGATTCCACATGCTACAACTAAAGATACTGCACACCTCAATGAAGATCGAAGATCCTGAGTGCCACAGCTAAGACCTGGCACAGCCAAATAAATATTTTTTAAAAAAATAATTTTTAAAGACTAAATAATGGGGGAAATATGAAAAGCTAGATGTTGGATGGTATTAATTTTTTTTAAAGTATGACTTGGTACTGTGATTTTGTTTTAAGGAAGAATCCTTATCTTTTAGAGGTAACATACCGAAATATTTATTGATGAAATGACATAATATGCACCAAATAACTAGGTGGGGGAGAAAAGCAGTAGTATAGATAAAACAAGATTGTCCATGAACTGATTACTTGAGAATCACTGGCATAGAAGGTACAAAAGAGCAGATATTTTCACTTCTACCCAGTCACTTATGGCAACATTATAACTGAGGCATGGGTAAGTGATTTTGAACAATGGTTCGCCAACAAAATGGTCTTACCCAAGGTAAATAAGGGTTCATTGTTCTATTTCTTCTTGTTGTTTTCACTTTTGAATTTTCTACCTTAAAAAGTTTGAAAAACAACAACAAAAGGATCTTTTAGCAGCCTAACTCAAGGAACATTTCAAGCTCATCTTAGCACACCTCTCTGCACTATTTAATACTGTTCATTATTCCACTTTTCCTAAACTCTCCATTCCTTGGATTCCACTTGCTACCATTTGTTAAATCATTGGCAGTGAAAAGTATTCAGATATTTAGGTGAATACACAGATATAGTGCTAGTTCAGTCACAGACTGGAGTTTCATATTATAATGTAAATATATGTCAGCACTATTCTAAACAGCTTTATTATGACTTTAATTAAATAAAAAAGGCAAAATGTGTATGTGTATACCCTATGTGTACTTCTTAAAATAGGTAAAGGTCCTGACCCTTTTATACAGAAGTTTGAAATTGAAGGTGGCTCAGACGGTAAAGAATTCGCCTGCAATATGGGAGACCTGGGTTCGATCCCTAGGTTAGGAAGATCCCCTGGAGAAGGGACAGCTACCCACTCCAGTATTCTGGCCTGGAGAATTCTATGGACAGAGGATCCTGGCAGGGTAAAGTCCATGGGGTCGTAAAGAGTTGGACACAAGCAACTTTCACTTTCACTAGAATTTGAAATTACATTATAAACACTTATACTTTATTCTAAATAAATCATTTTATGCACTCTCAAAAAAATTCTCTTCCTACATTTCAGCATGTTTCTTCTGTTTCCTTCACAGACTTCTCTTCATCCACCTACACTTTATTACTACTGGTGTTCCCTAGAAGTTCATTATCAGCCTACTACTTCTTCCCTACTGGGATAATGGCATCCACATTCATAGTTTGCTTTTCCATCATATGACCCCTTTGTTTATGACAATTACCTACCGCCCCCCAACCTGTCCTCCACCTGGATTCTTTATCTCAGTTGATACTCCGTCATCTAAGCAAGAAACTTTATTTATTTATTTATTTTTTAAGCAAGAAACTTTAAAATTATCCTGGTTGATGCTCTTTGCCTCCCCAGGACTGACTGAATTTGGATGCTGGTCAGTCAGCAAGCTTTCCCATTCTAGCTAAATGTTTCTGCCTCCCCTTTCCTATCATCCCTATCCTAGTTCAGTCCCTCAGCCTCTCCTCAGTGAAGCATCATCAGCGCTGCCTTGTTCATCAGTCTTCCTGCCTCCATACAACCACTACAATAATCTGTCTAAATGGGCAACCTGGCTCCTACGCTTGGAATTACTATTACCAACTACGGATATTCTCAAACTTGGATAAAGGGTCAGACACAAGTAGATTAAAATATTATATTGCTTAAACAAAAGGAAGCATAAATTCCTAGTGTTTATTGGGCTTCCCTGGCGGCTCAGATGGTAAAGAAGTTGCTTGTAATACTGAGACCCAGGCTCCATCCCTGGGTTGGGAAAATCCCCTGAAGAAGGGAGTGGCAACCCGCTCCAGTATTCTTGCCTGGAGAATTCCATGGACAGAGGAGCCTGTCGGGCGGGCTACAGTCCATGGGATTACAAAGAGTGGGACACGACTGAATGACACTTTCACTTTTCACAGATCTTAAACAACTACAGAAAGCAAACTTACAAAAGAAATATTGTAGATGTTAACATTTAATGTGGCAAATGAGCTTGTTTTGCTGAGACAAAATTGCCTCTGGAGGAATGAACATGAGGCATATGGCCTGTCTATACCCGCAGTGGAAGGACTGTGACTCACTGTGGCTCTTTCTCCTACCTTGTGCGAAAACGTCCCTTGTACCGAGAGCTTCGCTCGACCCTCCTGCACTGTTTATAATTTAAGATTGCTTTATTCTTTTCTCATTAGCTCTTGACAATTAAGTAGTGCGAGGCTCTCACTCCATAAATATGGGGTAAGACTCTGTTAGAAGGTAGTCACCCACACGGATGCGGACTGTGCAATTAGTTTTCTCTTTAGCTTATCACAGAAATAAAAATGGTACTTTAGAGTTTCTGAAGAGAATTCAGACTCGCTCCCTCCGTCGCTCTGTCGCAGACTGCTTCGCCGCAGGCCCGCAGCCTCCGCTCCTGCCGGCCCCCACTCCGCCGCTAGGTGGCAAGCGGCTCACCGACGCCCACCACCGCTCTTCCCAGACCTGTCACCGGGCCCGTGTGACGTCACCCATCCCAGGCGATGATTGGCTATACCGCCGAGGGCAGGGGGGCGGAGCCAGCGGAGAAGAGAAAGCGTTGCGTACGGCGAGCGCAGCGGCCCTGACGCGGTGCGCACGCACTCGGGACCTCGCGCCGCTCTAGCGGCCGCTGGCAGAACTTCCGCCCGCCCGGGCCGGCAGACCCGATTCCTACGTAATGGGGGCGGTACATATCTAGAGGGGTCACTCTGACTCGGGCCACACTGAGGGGAGGGGTCAGGTCGAGAGGAGGGGTCACAATGGCTGGTGGAGTCACTCTGAGAGGTGGGGTCTCGCTGGGCAGAAGGAACACACCAAGGAGGGTTGTCACTCTGAGGGGTTCTGGTACCCACTGGCGCTGGTTGGCGGTGTCACACAGAGAGGTCTCACGAAGAGAAGTCCCCGAAGAAAAGAGTTCCTTGAGGGGCGGGGTTTTGCTAAGGGGTGGGATCTTGCGCTTAGAGGGGCGTCCCTACAGGTGGAGTCCTCTCTTTTGAGAGAGAGGGGCTTTCGGACGAAATAGTAAAAGGAAGGTGCGGGCTGGGTGGTCGCTTGACGAGGCTCTGGAATCTGAACTTTATTCGAGGGAGGCGGGATGGATGAGCAGTCGGGGCCACACTTGGAATGGACTGGCCTAGGGCTCGCTGCAGTCTCGGGGCATCACCACCCCCCGAGAAGTTAGAAACTGTCAGGGAGTCCGGAGGTTTAAGGTGTAAAGGTCGAGACCTGGGAAATGGGCAGGCTGGGCCAGGGCGGAGGCTGGGAAGGAAGGTAGGTTGCTGGGCTGCCTCCGATTGTGGCTGGGCCAGAAGGATCCATTTTTCAGCCCTGCGAGTCCTCTGAGCCCGGGAATCGCGCGGCTCCGTGAGCCGAGTTGTCAACCGCCAGTGACCTGAAGGAGGGAGAGAAGGACTCCCAGGGCGGTTAAAAGACATTTGAACTGCGCGTACGCACAATCAGCCCTTAATTCCCTTCAGTTATTCAGCTCAGGCCTGACCTCATTTGACCCCGACGCCCCAGACCCACTCGCCTAGGACATAGTGGCTTCCGGTTGCGGGGTGCGCACCTGAGGGGGCGTGGCCGCTGCCCGGCGGCCAGGCTCGAAGGAGTTAATCAGAGGCCCGGCTCAGCCCCGCCCCCGGCAGGCCGCGGAGCCTGAGCCCCAGCGGCGAAGCGGAGCGGCCGCCGCCCGCCCGCCCGCCCGCCCGCCTCCGCCTGCGGGGAGCCGGCCCGCTTGCCCGCCGGCGCCCGGGAGCGCCACCTCCACCGCCCGGCCCAGGCCCAGGCCCAGGCCCTGCTCAGAGCGGAGCGGAGCGGCGTCCACCCGGGCCCAGCGAGCCGGCGAGGCGGGGGCGGGCCCAGGATCTTCGGCGAATCTTCTATTCTCTAGGGCAGGAGCGGGATCCCGGGCGCCCCTGATCCGTCTGGGCCCGCTCCCATGGCGAGCGCGGCCTGCCCGGGGCCCGGGGACCCTGCCATGTGAGGCAGGCCCCGGCCTGGGGGCCCGGCCATGGCCGGGGAACGGCCCCCACTACGGGGCCCTGGGCCCGGGCCTGGAGAGGCGCCGGGGGAGGGGCCCCCGGGGCCGGGGGGCGCAGGAGGAGGCCCGGGCCGGGGCCGCCCCTCCTCCTACCGGGCTCTCCGCAGCGCCGTGTCCAGCCTGGCACGCGTGGACGATTTCCACTGCGCCGAGAAGATCGGGGCCGGCTTCTTCTCTGAGGTCTACAAGGTAGGACCAGCAGAGAGGGCAGAGGGGCGGGACCGAGCCTCAGACGCGAGGCTGGAACTAGGGGCCTGGACCCTGGCAGTCTTCCCGACCTGCGCGGGACTAGCCATCCGCTACCGCCCGCAGGTTCGGCACCGACAGTCAGGGCAAGTCATGGTGCTGAAAATGAACAGGCTCCCTAGTAACAGGGGAAACACGCTAAGGGAGGTGCAGCTGATGAACCGGCTTCGGCACCCCAACATCCTAAGGTGAGCGGGCCCCAGCCCCTTGCTGGGAAGCTTGCTGGGGGGGAGGGGAGAGATCCCGCGGGAAAAGTGGGAACTGTGGAGAAGCCGAGGCTCTTACAGCCTACCCTGCTATCTTTCCCATTCTTCTCCAGGTTCATGGGGGTCTGCGTGCACCAAGGGCAGCTGCACGCTCTTACAGAGGTGAGGATGGGCCAAGAAGCGGGGGGACCCCCTCACCACCAAGGGGAGAGGGAGTCAGCGGCCCCGTACATCTGCAGAGGAGTAGTGGGAGGCGGCAGGAATCAGGGGAGGCTTCCCAGAACGTCCCTTTAGGCAAACCACAAGTAAAAGGCGTCAGCTGGTCCCATCCTTGGTACTCTTTAGAAGGGTGCTGTCCAACAACGTATCTTTCTGCAGTGATAAAAATGTTCTGTATCTGTGCGATCCAAAACCATAGCCACTCGCCACAAGTTGCTGAGGAGCACTGGAAATGTGACTAGTGTGACAGGAACTGAATGTTTAATTCTCTTTAAACTTAATAATTTAAATTTAAATAGATGTACATGTATGGGTCAGGACAGCCTTAGGATATGAATGGTGGACCCTAGAGCACAGACTCGCCCTATTGACCTTTGTGATACTCTTGAGTGTCCCCAGGCTTAAAAGTGGGAGACCTAGAGAACAGACTGAAGCTTTGATATTCCCCTTCTCCCCCCATGTCCCAGTATATGAACGGGGGGACCCTGGAACAGCTGCTCAGCTCCCCCGAGCCCCTATCCTGGCCTGTCCGGCTCCGCCTGGCTTTGGACATCGCCCGTGGCCTGCGGTACCTGCATGCCAAAGGGGTATTCCACCGAGACCTCACATCCAAGGTAGGCGGGCCAGGTGGGTGGAGGCGTGAAAGGGGATTTGAGATTCATTAGATTGTAACCAGCCCATGGATACTGGAAAGTGGATAACAGGCAACATTAGGATGTTGGGGTAGCAAGACATTGGAGTATGGGGGAATGGGATGAGAGGGAGTGCTCTGAGGGACTGAGAACCATTCTGTTTAAACTGAGAGATGGGTGATGCTGCAAGATTGGGGTACATTGGAGAACTGGGAGATCAGAGAAGATGGGGTTATTCTGGAATGACAGGTCTTTGAGGTGCATAGTGGGAGATCAGAGAACAGAAGGTGATGGGTATGCGGGGATGCTATATGTATATGTCAGAACTGTCTGATCCGACGGGAAGACCGAGGCTTCACAGCTGTTGTGGGTGACTTCGGGCTGGCTGAAAAGATTCCTGTGTATAGGTGAGGTGAACACCCTGTCCCCCTAAACCTCCCGGAAGGCCCTTATCTAAGCAAAGCCCATAGGCACGTTTCCTTTGGGGTGGGGAGTAGGCTGACCTCACCCCCTTTTGTTTGGGAAGGGTGTTTGGATGGGATATTCCTGACCACTCTGCCCCTGCAGGGAAGGGGCAAGGAAGGAGCCTTTGGCTGTGGTGGGTTCCCCATACTGGATGGCTCCAGAGGTGTTGCGAGGCGAGCTGTATGATGAGAAGGTAAGACGTCAACCCTTGAGGTCCCCAAGGCCTTCCAGAGACCCTGGAGATTCTCTTGTAAGGCCCCATCCTAAGTTCCTCAGCAGCTCTGTGAGATACTCAGAAGACCCAAGACCTTACCCCTCTTATCCCCTCCAACACATGGCAACTGTCCAGACTCCCCCGGCTTCTATTCTGACATGGCACTGTCAGCGCACCCCTGACGTTCTCTCCTGCCCCAGGCTGACGTCTTTGCCTTTGGGATTGTCCTCTGTGAGCTCATCGCCCGGGTCCCTGCAGACCCTGACTACCTGCCCCGGACCGAGGTGAGCGACATGTCCCGGTTTAAAAGGGCGCCCTCCAGACTGGGCAGTCCATAACCAAGGAGGGTTCCCAGAAGGGGGAGGCCCTAACTGGGGGCAGCAGGAAAACTGGAGGAAGGCTGACTCAGAGGCATCTCATCTCTGTCCCCACAGGACTTTGGGCTGGATGTGCCTGCTTTCAGGACCCTGGTAGGGGACGACTGCCCACTGCCTTTCCTGCTCCTGGCCATCCACTGCTGCAGTGTAAGAGCCTCGCTCTCCGCTGCCCTCCACCCCCCGCCAGCCCAGGGGATGGGAGGACTGCTCAGGGACACTCTTTTGGAGCTCTGAGTGAAGCTGTTTGTCTCTCCCTATCAGATGGAACCACGCACTCGTGCTCCCTTCACTGAAATCACCCAGCACCTGGAGTGGATCCTGGAGCAGCTGCCTGAGCCAGCCTCCCTGCCCCGGGTACCCCTGATACGCGGTCAGGGTAAGTGAGCACCACTGGAGTCCTTTTGCTCCTCTCTTCCTTAGAACTCGGAATTATCTGAGGAGACTGAGTGTTTTATTAGTTGAGAAGGTTGGGGGCGGGAGTGCGGTGAGAGGACATCTCTAGGCAGGTAGTTTTCTAATTCTGGAGCCTGAGGGAGGGGAACAAGGGAAGAAGAGGTACAAGAGGCTGGCGGGGACATCCCCCTCCTTCCAGAGCACCCTGTTCTCAGCTCTAGTCCCACCAGCCTCCCAGTCAGTTTATGAGGCCCTCAGGGAACTCTGATGAGTGCTGAGAACAGTGACCACAGACTTCTTTGCCTACAGAATCTGTTCCAAGAGGGGGTCCCTCTGCCACACTTCCCAGGCCAGACCCCCGGCTCTCCCGAAGCCGGTCAGACCTCTTCCTACCCCCATCGCCAGAATCACCCCCCAACTGGGGGGACAATCTGACTCGAGTCAACCCCTTTTCACTACGGGAAGACCTCAGAGGTGGCAAGATCAAGCTCCTGGACACACCCAGCAAGCCAGTGGCCCCTCTACCCCTTGTACCACCATCGCTACTGCCCTCCACCCAGCTGCCCCTGGTGACCACTCCGGAGACCTTGGTCCAGCCTGGGACACCTGCCCGCCGCTGCCGCTCGCTGCCGTCATCCCCTGAGCTGCCCCGACGGATGGAGACAGCACTGCCAGGTCCTGGCCCTCCTGCTGTGGGCCCGTCAGCGGAAGAGCAGATGGAGTGTGAGGGCAGCAGCCCTGAGCCGGAACCCCCAAGACCAGCCCCGCAGCTGCCCCTGGCCGTGGCCGTGGCCACAGACAACTTCATCAGCACCTGTTCTTCAGCCTCCCAGCCCTGGTCCCCTAGATCAGGACCTCCCCTTAACAACAACCCCCCGGCCGTGGTGGTGAACTCCCCGCAAGGCTGGGCAGGGGAGCCCTGGAACCGGGCCCAGCATAGTCTGCCCCGCGCAGCAGCCCTGGAGCGGACAGAACCCTCGCCGCCCCCTTCAGCTCCCCGGGAGCCTGAGGAGGGGCTGCCCTGCCCCGGCTGCTGCCTCGGCCCCTTCAGCTTTGGCTTCCTGTCCATGTGCCCCCGCCCCGCACCAGCTGTGGCCCGCTACCGCAACCTGAACTGTGAGGCGGGCAGTCTCCTCTGCCATCGAGGGCACCACGCCAAGCCACCCACCCCCAGCCTGCAGCTGCCCGGGGCACGCTCTTAGCAGTGGGGCCTGTGGTCTCTGGCCTCCAGGATGCCCCGTGAGGACGGAGAGCACACGCTGGACCGCGCCAGCCCTGGACGGGCTGAGCAGCTCTTGCCCCATACAGGGGAGGCTCAACATGGACGCGAGGAACAGAACATTTCCTTTCCAACCCCTGGGCTTGCTCTCCCGTGGGGATCACTGAACCAGACAACGCGTTGCTGACACACGAGACTAACACGTGCAAATTATTTAAAAATATTTCAATAAAACTGCCTGGCTGGCTCCGGGCTGCCCCCATCCGCTTAGCCCGTGCGCCCTCCCCACCCATTCTACTGTGAGAGGTTTTGGGGGGGGGGGGTTGAAATCTCTTCTAGAAGCTTCTTCCCCGTTCCCTGGGAACAGTCCAGTTTCTAGGACAGGATATCCAGCAGACTTGCCTAGAAATGCTGGGCCTGGGTCTGCCCTGTCTGGGCAGAGTGAAGACACACTGGAGGAAGGCAGATCTTAGGGCCCGCAGGCTACAGGTTAGCACTGAAGGGCACAGGCTCCTGTTGTTGAGTACCTGGAGGATTAAAGCATCAGTGAGACCTGGAGGATTAAAGCATCAGTGAGCTCCACGGTTGACTGCCACTGAGAATGCTCTTCCAGCTCACCCCACTTCCTCCCCAGCAACCTGGACAGCCACATCGCCAGCCTCCTTTCAGTTCCAGGCCTTCCCTGCCCAACTCTCCCTTCCATAAGCAGACCAAGCCCCTGGAGGCTGTGACATGGCTGCCGCCTCCAGGAACAAGTTTCCCCCTGTCCTCTGTGCGAGACCCTCTGCCCTAGGCTCCATGCCTCAGTCCCATCCCCCACACTTACCCAGCTCAGTGCAAAGAGTGGTCCCCATCTGGAGACCTGAAAGCTGACATCTCACAGATGGAGGAAAGAAGAGCCTGACACTCCGCTGTATCCAGATTCATCCACTTGGTTTCTAGCTTGGGACATTTTATTCGACCGGAAAACCTAACGGGTAGTGAAGTAGCGCAGGGTTAAGCTCTGGCCCCTCCTATCCCATCCTCCCTCCTCTCGCCCCGCACACACCTAACCCACGTCCTAACCCCCCTGCCTGCTGTGTGTGAGAGAGGGTTAGGGCCAGGTGTCTGGACTCCGACCCAAAGAGGCTGTAGGACCAAGGGAGGAGGAAAATGCCCAAGTTTTCAAAGATGGAAACTTCAGTTAGCTAACTACCCTGCTTCAGTGTCCCTGGGGTTGGTCCTCAAAAGTTACCTCAGTTACTTCCTTTCTCACTTCTGTGGGGCAACTCTGGTGCCCCAAGTGGCCTTGACTGAAAAAGTACAACTTCAGTTTGGGTAGCCTTGTCGACTGTAAAGTTAGAAGACCCGAGATTCTTCATCAGCTGTGACCCCTAGCTAAATCCTCAACTTATCCCTCTGAGAGATGACCTAGGTCCCAAACTAGTCTTTTTTTTTTTTTTTTTAAAGTAAAGCATGTGCCAGGGACTGGATACTGGGGATAGAATACAGAGCATGCCTGCCCTGAGAGTTATTAGTCAAATAGAAGAAATGGACACATGGGTGATTATAACATCAAAAGTTTTGAGAGGATGACCTGGCAGGAGAGTTCATTACCACGTCTTTACGAAGGGATTATAGAAGATTTTTGTTGCCCCAAAGTCCTAACAAACTTACCAAGTGTATTTTGTATGGTCAGACTGCCAGAACCGACTTCTGGGGCCAACCCAGTATGATTCAGCTGGCAGCACCTTCCGTAAGTTTCTCATATGAGTCTGAGACATCTGCAGGGAGATCAAGAGACCAGAGGTGTGTGAGGAGTAATGGGAAATACTGGAACAGGGGGAGAGAGGGGGTGTCAAGAGGAGGGGAAGAAAATACTAGAGAGGCTATGAGCTTCAGCAAGAGGACTGTACCCAAACTTGGTGCATGATATCACCTGATCAGTGACCATCCCCACATCCTTCAGGTGCCACCCTGCAGATACAAGCTGACCCCTCATTACACGTGCATGCATGCATACCCACACGCACATGCTGGGTAAGAATTTCTGCCAGCCTGTGAAGAGTCATTCTGTGGATGGTTCTTGTCACAAGGAGCCATTCCCTACAATCTAGCGCACCATGTATGGAACCTGTCTGCCTGGGAGACCATGAAAGTCAAGGGACCTGTTGAGCAGCCCAGAACTGACCAAAAAGCTGAGATGTGAAACAGGTTAAAGTAAAGATGACTTGTAAGTTTCAACTCTCATGCCAGCCCTAATCAGTAGGTAGGGCCACCTGGAGCCCTGTGCTGAGAGGCTGCACAGAAAAGGGATGCAACGCCCTGGGTGCACTGCCATCCTTGACTTGATGACATATGTCCCTTTACCCAACAGTACCCACTACAGTCTTTGAATAGGGATTCGCTTACTGTATTTAATTGAGAACCGTCGCTGGTTTGGGCCAAATCAGAGGACAGAGATTTACAATGGCTTTGGCTTTCCGTCCAAGATCTCTTAGTAACTGAGATGTAAAAGCAACTCCTCTCATTCTGTATCCATCCCAAGGGACAACAGGAATCTAAAAAGCAGAAAGAGTGTGACAGCACTGCCCTGCCCAGACCCAGGAGAGGGATCTCAACACTCAGCAGTCTGGTTGCTAACAATATTCCCCAGAGTGGAACCTCAGTCCTTAACTGACATCTGGTCCTTAAACTTTGCAATCTTTTTTCCTTCGACTACCCTGGAAATGCCATACCTGTGCAGACTTAGTGAAAGCCTTTAACATTCAACAGTTTTACTTCTTAAAACCTAGAGGGTTTGCATTTCCCTGGTGGCACAGTGGATAAGAATCTGCCTGCCAGTGCTGGGGTCACAGGCTCAGCCCCTGGTCTGGGAAGATTCTGCATGCCACAGGGCAACTAAGCCCGTGCCCTGAGCCCCAAAGCCCTGAGCCCACAACTACTGAGCCCGCGTGCTGCAACTGCTAAAGCCGAGCATGCCCAGAGCCCATGCCCTGCAACAAGAGAAGGCACTGCAGAGAAGCTTACGCACCACAATGGAGAGCAGACCCAGTCTCTGCAACTAGAGCAAGCCCACACAGCAGCGCAGCCCCAGCACTGCCAAAAAGCAACCAACCAATTTTTTTTTTTCAGTTCTGGGAGGCTTATTTGAAAAGGGCTGGTGGTACTATCCCCAATTTCTGAACAATTGCAGTCTACCCCCCATTTTGGTTAACCTTACCTGGGTCCCCAATAAACAAGTGATCAATGGGCCTTCCATTCATCTCATTGCCTCATTAGCTCCCTAACACATTCCCCAGCACATATTCAAAACTTCTCCTCATTCCTCAAGCTGCTAGCCACTAGCTTCCCCTCCAAGTCTTCCACAAGTTGACAACCTTGCTTCCTGCTTTGTTGAAGTTGTCAGACACTTGACATGTGAACTCTCTCCATTTTCCTCCCCTCCATCTCAAAATTAGTCTCTTTTCTCTCTTCCTGACTATTGGTCAGAAATAAACCTCCCTCTTTCTTTAACATCCCACAGCCCAGTCTGTGCTCCTGATCCCAACCCACCTCTCTCTGCTGCTTTGTCCCATCCATCCTACGCCCCCAAAAATCATTCCTTCCCCTCCAATTCCCTCTCTTCTGGCCATATTTTCTCATCCCCACCCAGCTACTCCCTTGAGTTACTGTCCTACAGCAAGTTAAAGGGATATAGAAGTTGGTGTGACCAAATGAATGAAGGTGAGGGGATGAGCAGCACACTAAAAGGTAGGTAGGGGCCGTGGGGACCAGATTGAGAATTTTTTATTTTTAGATTATGAGCAAGAGAAAGTCAATGTAAGGTTTTACATTGAGGCATTTTGTTCTCTGGCTGTATCCCAAGTGCCTGGGCACAGTGCTGGACACAGAGTATGTATTCCATAACTTTTGGTGTAATTAATTAACTGACATGATCTTAACTGGAATGACATGATCAGATTTTTGTTTTTAAAGGATCACCCTGGCTGCAACATGAAAAGTGGATTTGGAGGAGGGATGTTTAGAGAAAACATTCAGCAAGCTGTTGCAGTTATCCTTGCAAGAGATGAGGATGGGCAGAAATGCAAATGGATACACGAACTGGTGGTGGAGAACAGAGGCGATTCCTCTCTGGCAGAGCAGAGCCACCTGCTGAGAGTGAGAGGGAGGGTAGTGGGGTATGGAGAGCCAGTGTGTGGGGTCCCACCAGAGGTTGAGCCTAGAGTCCTGTGGCACCAAAGCAGGATGGCTGCTCAGCTTGTCACCCCTGGGTGCAGTCATGGCTGTTCATCCAGAGTTGAGATATTGCTAGTCAGATATACCAGAAGGACACTGGAACCAAGGAGTGGGTGGGCTGGCTCAAGTAATGGGACAGGCCCCCAAATCAAGATGGGTAGAGAAAGAAGTGAAGACAGGTGATGGCTGATGAGAAGGGAGGAAACAGGGGAGCCAGCAGGTAGAAGGCCTCTGTGAGATTGAAGGAGTGTGGGGGCCCGTCGTGGTCAGAGCGAAGATCTGAACCGTGCTTTCAGCGGAAGTGTGGTGTGGGATGCTGAGGTCTAGGTTCAGCTGTGGGGATGGGGGATGGCAGTGGGGGTGGGCAGTACTGGCATGAAAGTGAGGCTTGCAGAGAATGAGAAGGTTAAAGAAACCAGGGCTGCAGGTGTCTGTACATAATCTCTTTGTTTAAAGCTTTGGGGGAGTATCCAGATGCCCCTGAACTAGACAGAGCCTAACCTCTAGACAGCCAGTCCACAAGCAGTCCCGTCCTCTCGGGCAGGGGACCCTCCCTCAACCTCAGCCTACTTTGGCAGACCTTCTGTGTGTCCCCCTCCCTCACCCCCACATACTGCTGCACTCCTCCTTTCGAAAGGGATGAGCAATTCCACCCTAGTTCACTGCCCTACAAGCTCTCTGAGAGAGCCTCAGCTGCCTTGCCCCAACTCCAGACTGTACCACAACCATCAGTAATTCTTACTCTTTGGAGGAAGCTCAGCTATAGCAAGAATTAAGTAAAGCTATAGGTCCTCTCTATAGAAAAACATGTGAACAATCAATTTCACATCCAAATTCAGGGAGTTTCCAGATCTTTGACACTGATATGCCCTGAGCCCTGAGATGAGCCAGATGAGCCCTGAGCTTGCTGCTCTGTATCATTTGCATTGCTGGCTGCCACCCTCTTCTCCCCAAGAGGATCCCACCTTAGAGCTGGGTGAAAGTGAAAGTCGCTCAGTCGTGTCTGACTCTTTACCACCCCATGGACCATACAGTCCATGGAATTCTCCAGGCCAGAATACTGGAGTGGGCAGCCCTTCCCTTCTCCAGGGGATTTCCCAACCCAGGGATCGATCCCTAAATCCAATAGGTCACTAGATCTTTCCCCCTGCTGGCCAAGGCTGCACAACTCATGTCCATGTCAGCCAGCACTCTGGTTCACCACCCCTTTCCTGAACAACTCAATGGCACCCAAATAGACAGAGCCCTCGCTTCAATCCATCGCTCATGGCAGGTGCTCCATCTCCCCTTTCCCAGAGCAGATACCTGGGGAGGGGCACTGGAAGAAGGGCTGTAGTCTTTCCCGCATGCTGTTCAGCCTCTGCTCCAAGTTCACCCTCTCTGTCTCCTTATTTCTCAAGGCCTCTTTCGTCTTCTCCCAATCAGACTGGCAGACCTGCAACTGCTCTCTGGTAGCCTGGCCAGCCTTCTGTTCCACCTGTAGTGTTTCCTGACTCTGGGCCAGCTCCCTCCTGGATCCCTGCAAATCCTCTTCCCTCTGCCCCAGCTGGGCTATCTTCTGGCTCAGCTGCTGCCTCAAGCTGCTGTTGGTGATTTCCAGAATCCTGTTCATTTGCTGGAGCTGCCGAGACACCTGCAGATCTGTTCAGCCATAAAGAGAGATTCAGGACATCATCAGCCATGCCCCGGTAACCCGAGGCTTCAGCATCGGTCCCTGCTCTGCTTCTTGCAAGTCTGTCCTAACAGGCTGGAATGGAATATAAGATCTGACCGCCTAAAGCTTCAGGGGGCACTGGGTTAGGTCAGGACAATCTAGAAGTCACTGCACTCTGAAAACAGACCTGGCTAGAAACCAGCCCAAAGCGGAGGCTGTGGTGGTAGTGACTCCCGCCCTGCTGAGGAAGGGCAGCTGTTGGGGAGAGTGGGGAGAACGCTGTTCCGGGCAAGTGGGAAACCAGGGGCAGCCATACTCACAGCGCACTCCCAGGCAGGTGGCAGCCACCGCGCAGAGCAGGCACGTGAGGAGCAGGCCCAGAACCAGGTACCGCATGCAGGCTGCATGGCCTTAGGGAGACAGCGGGTGGGGGGCGGGGTGCAGTGAGCCCCACGAAAATGGATAGACCGAGGGGTGGGGGTGGAGCTCGCGGGAAAGAGCATCCCGCGAAGGCCGTGGAACACTAGCTGGGCAGCGGGAGGCGCGCGCGGGGCTGGGAGCACCGGGTACTCACACCACAGAATCCGCCCGGCAGCGGGTGACGTCACGGGGCTCCAGGCAGCTGTTGGCTGCTCCGACTGGGCCCCTGCGGAAGGGAGAGACTCCTGCGAAGGTGGGAAAGCCGAGGAAATGCCCGCTTCTTCCCACCCCTACCCGCTCCACCGCGCCGAGACTCCAGTCTGTCTTGAGGAGCCTTCAGCCGCCGCTCTGGGCCACCCTTAGCGCTCTCCGGAGCTCCTCATCTCCCCTGGGGCTGCCGCGCCCCTCCTGGGTCTTGCCTTATCCTTTCCCCGGGGACCCTCTATAACCCGTCAGGGTCTCTCTTGATCTTTCCCTCTGGGGCCACTCATCTGCCTGCCAAAACCCTCTCCCCGGGAGTGCTCTCCCTTCCTCCCCCTTCCCTCTCTTCTCCTCCCTCTCCCTAGGGACTCCCATTTCCCACTGGAGCTCTGCACCCCAACAGGGCTGCCCTGATCCCTCCGTAGAGCCCTCACTCCCCACTGGAAGTTTATTCTTCCTTGGTTCCCGTGGTTGGTCCTCATTCTCTTCCTGAGAACCCCCATCCTTTCTCCAAGGGCACTGTCCTCCCAAGAATGCTATGGACTCCCCCAACTCAAAACACAGCCCCTCACAAACATGCATCCTCCAGGCTCCCCAGACCTGCTTTATCCCGTAATCCAGAGGAAGCCAAGCTCGAGGGTCCTCCTGTGCCTGGGGGCACATTCTCATAGGTGAGTTCGCCGTCTTCATCAGTCTCTGGGTCTGGAGAGGAGAGGAAAGGTGGGGTCAGGATGGGGGTCTGTGGGGTGGGAGTGGGGTCCTGAAGGAAGATGGAGCTGCAGAATTAAGGAGCCGCTGCAGCCATCCTTACCGTGTCCTAGCCGGCTGGAGTTGCTCTTCTTCAGGGGAGCCTTCACAAACCGCAGGTCTGCATAGGTGATGGCCTCAGCCATGGTCCCCGGCACCTCTGCTCCCACTGGTCCCCCTCCTCGTCCGCCGGCCCGGGACGCTCTCCCCTCTGCCCCGTCCCCTCGACCCCTTCAAACGGTGAGGCTCTGTGTTGCCTCCGTGACTGACAGCTTCACGCCTTGCCCTGTGACTTCCAGTCACAAAACAGGAAGATGTGAACCCGTGTCAGACAGATGGGCTCAGTGAAGCAAATGGCATCCCTGAGCCCTGGGCAGAGGGGCAGGGGAGGGGAGACTGAGGCCCAGATCACGGGGTCAGAGCAGGGGGTCAGAGAGCCGGTACTCAGGCCTGGTCTTGCATCTGGCCGTGCCCTCCTTCTCGCATCCCAGACCCGCCTTGACAGTGCTGGGCTCCAGCAATACTCCCTTGTCACTTGATTTGCCCCACACTCCTTTCCTGGCTGCCCAGTCCCTGGGCTTTCTACGTGCAGTCGGAGCTCTTTTGTGCTCAACTGACCACAGAGGGTCTCCTAATCACCGCTCCAAGGTGGGGCTCCATCCTCCCATCAGATTGGGGGCTCCTAGTCTGGAACCCTAGCTCTCCCTCATCCTGGGATTCCCAGCATATCTGAGTTCCTGCAGGAGACCCCAGTTCGATTCCAGGGTTGGGAAGATCCATTGGCGAAGGGATAGGTTACCCGCTTCAGTATTCTTGGGCTTCCCTCGTGGTTCAGCTGGTAAAAAATCTGCTTGCAATGAGGAAGACCTGGGTTTGATCCCTGCGTTGGGAAGATTCCCCTGGAGAAGGGAAAGGCTACCCACTCCAGTATTCTGGCCTGGAGAATTCCATGGACTGTATAGTCCATGGGGTCACAAAGAGTCAGACACGACTGAGCAACTTTCACTTTCACTGAGTTCCCAGAATGGGGTTCCCTTACTTGGTGGGCATTTTCTCTCCATTAGTTTGGGGGCTTTCAGGGTGGGCCTGGCTCCCTTTCTGCTGTCATCCTACAGAGCTGCCAGGAATCCCACACTTGGGGAAATCTTCACTCCAAGCCCTTCCTGGAGGTGTGGCAGCCCTGTGGAGGATGCAGGGGACCTGGGACCAAACTGCGTCTCCTGTGTAAACACGCCCCAGGCTCTTACTCCACGGTCTTTCTCCACAGTCTTTCACCAGCTTTGGTGCCCTACAGGTCACCCTTGTGGCCCATCAGCCCCCTCCTCGTCCCATCCTGCCTGGCAGCCTATGCGACCCCTGTGTTCTGGTACCAGCTAGACAGAACAAGCTGAGTCCGGGAGGCAGAAGCTCTGGGACAGGCAGGGCTGGGGGTGAGAGCAAGGGACACCCCCGTGCGTGTGCCCACACCACTGACTGTTCATGCATCTTGTTGGGTGTCAAGGAACAGACACAGAAAGGACTTGCATACGGATGAAGACGGACTGCGGCTTCTCAGCGGGAGAATGGCTGGGTTCTGAGCGGCAAGACTTTGGACCAACCAACGTTTTGCTATCTTCTTAGTTGGGTACTGGCATCTCTCTTACTTTCCTAGTAAAATTCTTCCTTTAAAAATCCCTGCAGGAATTTCCCAGTGGGCCAGTGGTTGAGGAGGCTTCCCAGATGGTGTTAGTGGTAAAGAACTCACCTGCCAACGCAGGAGAGGTAGGAGACCTGGGTTTGATCCCCGAGTCGGGACGATCCCCTGGAGAAGGAAACGGCAACCCACTCCAGCGTTCTTGCCTGGAGAATCCCATGGACAGAGGAGCCTGGTGGGCTACAGTCCACGGGGTCACAAAGAGGACATGACTGAGGTGACTTAGCACCCACACCAGTGGTTAGAACTCCATACTCTCACTGCCAAGGGCCCCATTTCAGTCCCTGGATAGGGAACTTAGACCCCACAAGCCACGTGACATGGCCAAAAAAAGTCCCTATATTGTTGTTTTACACACAGCCCCAATAAAAAAGTGGGGCAGTTGTGGGGGAAGACCAGGGACCGAGAGGCCTGGCAGATGGAGGACCGGAAATGGGGGGTGGGGTTGCTGAGCAGAAGTGCTCCCTGAAGTTCTTTTACCAGGATGTGACCCCCCCCCGAAAAGGGCCCACTTGGCGGGTGAGAAGAAGCTGGGACAGAAGAGGTACAGAATTGGGAAAAACCCACCCCAAGTGGGTGACATCCGCCCCCTCAGAACCCCCTCCCCCATCACCGCAGCTGTGAGGAGGAAAAAGGAAGGGGAAAGCGGTCCTCGACACACGCTAGCAGCTTGTAGTGTATGGTTAGTGGTGTGTGGAGGGGCGCTGAGATGCGCCTGTGGGTCTGATGGGAGCTGTGCCCGATGGTGACACCCCGTTTGCCCCAGAAAAAGTGCCACTGACACAGAGGAATCGATTTGTCACCTGGGAAGGGTCGGGGGAGAGGCAGACGTCCACGGGCGTGTGGGTGTGCAGGCCTGTGGCTCACAGGCTGTGAGTGTGTAGGCACGCACACGCATCGGCCGGCTCTGCAGGCTGTCGGGGTGTCTGTACGGGGTGGCCATCTCCGCTCGAGCCTGTTGCGGGGTGAAGCCCGGAGGAGGCTGTGGCCTGAACGGTGCCTGTGACGGCTGTGGTTTTTTCCCAGGGTGGGAAACGACTGGCCGTTTTCAGAAGTCCCTAAAGGTCATGGGGACAGATTCTACAAGTGTTTCCTTCTTGTAAGGCTCATGGTTTCCTAAGGTGTTTCCCAGCTGCTGTTAACCGTCCCTGCTTGACTAAAGTTTCCAACAACCCAGCCCCCTCTGCCGGGGGAGGAACACGGTCAGGGCCTCCCCAGACAGCCACAGCACGCATGTTGTGACTTCCTGGGCCCTCGGGGGCCTGTGAGGGTGAGTGGGAGGGTACGGAGCAGCTGCGGTGAGTGGGGTGGTCGGGGCACTTGAATCTGTGGGGCACAGGGCTTACGGGCGGGGACAGCAGGTGTGTAAATCATTTGCAGGAACACTTGCAGTTATTCTGTACATTGGAGATAATGTCCCAGTTTTCAGAGCCCATATGCAACAGGGCCTGGGTGCCAGGTAAAATGTCAAAAGCAAGCTACCACTATGTGTTCAAAAGAGGAATCAATGGGCACGCTGCCTGACTCGACTGTTGGAGAGGCTTCAGGAGGCAGGGTGCCCACATGGGGTTGAATGAGCTTCACGCTCATAATGCTTTGGTGTCTTAGGCCAGCTGGCCTGTGTCTCCTCTTTAGCTCTTTTAGTGATGGATACACATCTCCTTATGACTCTCTGCATTCCCTCAGTCCTAGATCATCAATGGAAGATGGTTATAAAAGCAGAGTCTGTCTCCTTCCCCAAATGTGTCACGTGGTATCTTTGTGATATCTTTGAGGCTGGACGTCAGAAAGGACATCTGAAAGTCTGAGCCACACCTCACTTGCTCAAATGTCAGGAATGCCTGGGGGCTTCTCAGAGCTGAGAGGCCAGTGCTGTACATTTCAGCTTTTCCAGTATCATAATTTCAGCTGAGGTCCTAGAGGGCAAACACCAGAGCCCATTTTGTGTCCTCTCCTGATCCTCCATGCTCATTTCAGGGAGTGGTTCTACGGTAGACAAGAGGAGGGGGCCCAGCTCGAAGCATCGGGAAAGAATTTGCTGTGTGGAAAAGGGCTTGGTGAAGTGCAGCCAATATCAGGAAGTCAAGGAAGTCTCCCAAGACTCTGAAAGTCAGGCTCTGTCCACCTTCATTAGCGGAACCCACTAACTCCAGGAGGGACAGGGTGTGATAGGCGAAAAATGGCCTCGCCCCAGTGTTCACAATCTTAACCCGCAGAACCCGTGCATAGGTTACTTTGCCTGATGAAACTGTTAATGTGACTAACTTGAGAATCTTTAGATGGGGAGATCACCCTGTTTTACCCTGAAGGTCAATCTAATCATAAGTCCTTGAAAGGAAGTTTTCAGGGTCATGGGAGGAAAGAGGTTTGACCTTGGAAGACGGGGCAGAGAGATGTGACATGAATAAGATGCTGCAGGCAGAAGAAGGGGAACACGAGCTGAGGAATGTGGGCAGCCTCCAGAAGCTGGGAAAGGCAAAATAACAGATCCTCACCTCTCCTCCAGACAGGAACCAGCCCCGCTGACACCTTGACTTTAAGCCAGTGAGATGTGTCAGAACTGTAAGATGAGAAGCTTGTATTTTTTTTTTTTAATTTTTGCTGGAGGATAGCTGATTAACTGTGTTGTTTTGGTTTCAGGTGTATCAAAAAGTGAATCATTATATGTATACATATGTTCCCTCTTTCTTAGATTCCTTTCCCATATCGATCATTACAGAGTATTGAGCAGAGCTCCCTGTGCTGCACAGTAGGTCTTGATTAGTTTTCCATTTTATATATAGTAGTGCGCGTATGTCAACCCCAGTCTCCAATTCATCCTTCCCCACTGGTGACTGTAGGGTTGTTTTCTACATCTGTGATTCTATTTCTGTTTTGTAAATAAGTTCACTTGTAGCTCTTTTTGATTCCACATATAAGTCGTATCATATGATATTTGTCTTTCTCTGATTTACTTCACTTGCTGTGACAGTCTCTGGGCCCATCCATGTTGCTGCAGACAGCACTGTTTTGTTCTTTTTTATGGCTGAGTTATATTCCATCGTATATATGTACCACATCTTTATCCACTCCTCTGTCAATAGACATTTAGGTTCCTTCTATGTCTTAGCTATTGTAAATCGCTGCTGCAGTGAACATTGAGGTGATGCATGTCTCTTTTCGAATTATGGTTTTCTCCAGATATATGCCCAGGAGTGGAATTGCTGGATGATATGGTAATTTTATATTTAGTTTTGTAAGGAGTCTCCATGCTGTTCTCTATAATGGTTGTACAATTTACATTCCTACCCACAGCGTAGAAGGGTTCCCCTTTCTCCACATCTTCTCCAGCATTTATTAGGAACTTGTATTTTTTTTAAGCCACTGAGTTCATGCTAATTTTTTTCCAGCAGCAGGAGATAAGTTCCCTGAACTGTGGAGGAAGCATGATGTAATGGAAAGAGCTTGATATAG